TAGTGCTGTTCTGCTACCCTTTGCAAAATGATTTAAAAACAGATTCACATTTTGCATTCTGGTGTCTGTGGTATCAATATGATTCATTGGATGAAATCACAATCTTTAACTACAACTGTTGTAACTTTCCATTTTAGCCAGCAGTGGTGTCATGAAAGTCCATCAGCGGCTCTTTTTCATCCAGATTTTCTGTGTTGCAGATGTCATCCAGGCTTTATCGGGATGAGGTGTGAGCATGCAGACCTCCTCGCTGTAGTTGCAACCAATCACAGGCAACAGACCATTGCCACGATGCTGGTGTTGTGTGTGATTGGGTGTGTTCTCATCATGGTGTTATGTACAGTCTTACAGTAAGTTACATAAATATCTTGTGCTGTAAGCAACAGATTAATTGAAAATTAGATGAAATTGATGCCACACTGAGTTTGCTTGGTCTATTTTTCTTCCAGCTGCTGGTGGAGACAGGACTGTCGCAGGCGCAGCCACGCACATCACCATGTTACAGAAAAGCACGGCGTGTCCTGCTGTCCATCTGAGAGTGGTACTTGACTTTACTTTCTTATTACAAAGTGCATTTTTAACTTCATAGTTCCACTTACAGACTGCAGGGGATGCAGTATCCATTAGATGAATATGAGAGGGTGGAAGCTGAGAGCAGTGAAGACTGTGGGCAACTAATATGGGCTGTCAACATTTGCCGTGTTTGCACAGAGAGTGCATCCATTTATCTGTCTGTGATTACGGTTAAAATTTTCTGTTATGGACATTATTTTTAATGAAATCATTTCTGTTTCTCAATACTTCCTGACAGCTGTGTGTGGCTCAGAGTTGTTTGAAGAGCTTCTGCATTAAGCACAAACAGGCCACAGAGATTTCTAGTAAGATATTGTCAGGGACCCTTTTTAGACTAGTGAACACCAATCTGTGAACATGTTTGTGACTGGTGTAACTGGACAACAATGCAGATAGAAGGTGCAATCACAAAGATTCAAAACGCTGGGAAACGGACATTAAAAAAACTTGGCAGATAAATGTATATCACATAACGTTTTTTCTTTCAAGGTCAACTTTGGACTGCTTGGAGTACTTTTATTAGTAGTAGTTTTTAAATTCTTATATTTTGCCCTCCGTTATCCCCTTGAACTGAATTTATGATGTGCGCTTCACCCCACCCAGGCAGTTGAGGCAGCTGGTGGCCCCTCCCCGACTGCAGTTCTGCTGTAGCACTCTTCCTATTGCAATGGAGTTTGTTCTTCCCACTGTTGCCAAATGCTTGTGTTGGGTTATGTGTTATAGTTTTGTAGGATCTTGACCTAGCTATATAAAGCAACTTGATTGTGTAGGTCTGGCCAGTAAACTGTGTGCTGGTGCATGCTGGCAAAATATACTACTTTAAAAGTCTTGAACTGTTGATTACTAGAACTTTGAATTCAGTTAAAAGTCCCGCTCCTGCTCCTGACCTCTCCATCATTGGGATTGCAAACTGTGGTCTCTTCAGGTTATAGATGGAGACCCAGCTCTCATCAGCAGTGACGATCCCCTGTAAAGGTTCGGTTAGTTGATAGTGATTGTTATTTTTAGATCATTTCCACGAGGGAGCTAAAAGTAGAAGGCCCTCTGGAAGTAGGAAAGGGGTGCAAAAAGTAGAGTTTCTATGGAAAAAAAAAAAAAAAAAAAAAAATCATCATACCTCATGTACCACAACAGCGTCACCAATTTAATGTTCGTCTTTTTTTGTGGAATTTGTTGATAATCTTCTGAATATTAACTATTTAGACAATTCCTTAACATAAACATAAATGTTTGGGCTTTGTCTTTCAGTGGTCTGAGAAAACATCTCACTTGAACATGAGCTCTTCGTATCATGCCGTGTTCAGTCTTCCTCATCTGCCTGGTCCTCAAACCCCACGGCTTGCATCCAAAGTGGTACAGCAGGCCAGAAGGGAAGTGATAATACAGTATCTTAAGTGTGACTGAGGTAGGCCTTCTTCATGTGGGAGGTTAAATGCTCCATTTCTCCTATCTGATGACTGGGACCTTTTGGACTTCAACAATCTAGGAATGTGTTTGCTTTGCTCTTTGATTCTACGAAAATACTCAGAATTGCAGCAGACTGTTTGACCCTCTGAGACTGATGCTGCCGCCAAATCATGCATGAGAAGAGCCCTGTGTGTCCTGATTAGAGTTTATGGCTGGCCTAAAGGACATGGGAATTTATCTATAAGGCCATTAATCACCCTGTGTGGATGCTGAATAGAAAAGGCGTTATTTCAAGCTGCAGGACAAGAATAATTCACTTGAGTCATACATCCCCAATTCCTATTTTTGTCTTTTAATATCTTTGCACATTTTCATCAGAACACTATGAGCACGAAGGACATTTTAATAATTTCTGGTGTGGGGAAACCGGTGCTTTAACATGTTTTAGTGTCTGTTTTTAGGGAAGGAACTCACTTCACTCGACAGAAGTAGAAATTGTTAGACTCATGCACATTGATTTCCTGATCTTAAATCAAAATGTATATGCAGAGACTGCAGCTTTAAGTTATTCCTGTAGCGTTTTTGATGAAACTTTCTTTATTGCTCCTGAAGCAAAAATGGTTGTCAGTTTCCGTTTTTTAATTCCTAAGCTGTACCTGTACATGTGCATGCATCAGAGGTTCTTTGTTTTTTTTCCCTTTTTTTTTTTTTTTAATTTGCAAGCAAGAACTCTACCAACACGAGTGGCCACTTTATCCTACAGTACCTTTGGAAAATTGCGCTCATCTGCAAGCTTCTTCACTGCTTATAAAAAAAGCTAAAAAAAAACAGCACTCACTGCACGATGTAGACACTTAAACGCATCCACATACGAGAGATGCCGTTTCTAACTGCCTGAACGAGCACTGATGGGACTAAGCACGCGGTTTGCACATATACCCCTAAGCATGCATGCACTTAAATCACAGCTTTTATTTTAAATGCAAAGCATACGAGTGCCGTGTTTATAGCAATGCTCAAAAAAAAAAAAAGGAAAAGGGAAAAAAAGCCTCTGAAGTTTAAAGTGGTTATTTTGAAATTTCTAAATAATTTTATGTTATTGGTGAGGGAATTAAAGGACAAATTGACACTATTGTGAAGCATGTGCACATGCTTTGTGTGTTCACTGTGAATGTGATGGCGTTTCTATGCCAAAAGCCTCTGAGTGGATGATAAACTTGTCTTTGTTTACAGTACGTGATTTTTGCATTGCAGAATTTGCATGTGTATTGCAGGATTGAAACAGATATATTTGGGGGATTTGCTGGGTGAACACATCCCGCTGTTGAGCTTCTCATGCATTATCCCTTTATGGTGCCAGACTTATGCTGGCACAACTGGAAAGCCTCCATTATTTGTTTTCCAATGAAGAATTAAATATGCAAGTGTGTGTCTGTCTCTTTCATATGTCTCTTAATTGCTGTTCCATCTCTCAAGTCTCTTTTTCTATTCCTTGCGTGACCTTCTTTTCACTTGTGAAGCGCTCGCTCTCTCAAAATACCCTAATTTTCTGATCTTCTACTCTATTTTTCTGTGCCATTGAATATTTCAAGATGCAGTAATGCCAACACGGAACTCTGAACCCCAGGCACATTTGAACAAAGAGCTGCAGTCTTGAGTGCTTTTATGGCTGAGGGAAACGTTTTGTCCAGCTTCTGCTATATAGCCATTCAGCCTGTTTATTTATTAATTTCTTTATTTCACAGAATCTATACCCATTCACATTCAAACATTCATCCTCCAATATGAGTCCGCTTCACGTGCTGACATGCTGGGCTTTTGTTTTGATTGTAAGTCACTGGATTGACATCTTCCCTCATGACATGCTGCACCTCCTCTGCTCTTCCCTTTGGCTCTCTGCATGAGAAGCTTGGTTTTGGTTTTTTTGCAATCCCATTATGCCTGCAATTGGATTTCTGTGGAGCCCTTTAGAGCCGTCTGGCTGAGCTACTAAACCAGCTTTGAATTAAGCAGCTCTTACGGATGACTCCCTAAAGATATACAATACCCTTCAACGTACAAGCATTTGTACGGGGAAAACATTTTACTGGACACGACTCAAGGTGAAAATACGACTTGGGGAAAAAAATTTTTTTTGAACACTGTGGGAGGGGTGTCGTCTTTTTTTTTTCTTCTTTCTTTTAAAAATTAAAAACATTGACATTCTTCCAAAAAAGATTTAATCCGTATTCTATAAGAGGCTGGAGCTTGCTGTAAATAGCAATTCCACTTTGGTCTCTCTGCAGCTCTTTTGATCCTCAGTCCAACATTCCCAGTATCTGTCTCTGACCAGATGGTTTAAAGTGGGTACTTACAAAGGTATTAGGGTTAAGCAACCCTGCCTTGTTCCCCTCACTGCTAAGCACTGAGAAATATCATTAGGGATGATCAGAGCTTTTTAGCTCCTGTAAAGCGGCCTGCTAATGAATAACTTTTTAAAGAAATGTACCTGCATAGCTGATGCTGAGCACAAATTGAGAGAATGCAGGCAACTTTCAGGACACTTTATTTTACAGCAAGACTCCTGCCATGATATTTCTGCTGATCTGTGGATGTTTTATGTGACTTGACACAATCAATTGCAAATACATTTGCTGCCTACAATTCATAGCAGCTCTGCTCAAAGCAGATGGTTACTCGGTTGTTTTGTATAATTTCCCTAAATGTGGGGACAAGTTCCAAATAACCGATTATTAAAAAAGATGGTAAAAGAATTGACATGTCCTGAGTGCTGCAAAAACATTTCTGGGCTTGTCTTCTAAAACAATTCCTCCAGTGGTTAATATAAACTTCTTAATTTAAAAAAAAAAAAAAGTTGTAGTCCTGTAGTCCTCAGTTATGCTTTCCACTGGCACTACCTTGGTGCCAGCAGACATTTTAGCCTGATGGTGCAGATATGACATTACAGAGAAGAAAAGACAAACTATAGACTTCAGTGCTGATTTTTTTTTTGCAGTCAACCACCTTAAAGTCACTGACATCAATAAAATATAAATCAAGTCAATGCACACAGCCATATAGATGTGCTCAATACGACCTCACTGGTTATTTGTGCTGGTCTTATTATTTCAGAAACCACTGATCAACTGGGATCTTTCCCAAACAAGCATCTTTAGGGTTTACAGAGAATAGTTGATTAAAGAGAAAATACCTGGTGAGCAGCAGTTCTCTTGCAGAAAATGCACTGTGGCTACTACAGGTCAGAGAATAACCAGACTCCTTTGAGCTGATAGGAAGGCAACAGCATCAAAACACGTTACATCCAAGGTATGCAGAACAGCATTGCTGAACGCATAACACCTTGAACCTTGACGACCACACAGGGACTTCAGTCAAGCAGGAAAATTAACACATTTGGACAGTAGATTAGGAAAAGAAAGTTGCCTCGTTTGATGAGCCTCGATTTCTGCTGTGACAGTCAGTTGGTAGGGTCAGAATTTGGCTTAAAACACCAGAAAACCATGAATCTACCCTTTGGGACACTGTACCAAATGAGCCGATTATTATTGCGCAACATGTCCACTCTTTTATGACCACAGTGTTCCCATCTTCTAATGTCACAAAGCTCAGATCATCTGAAATAGTTCTCTTGGACATGGCAATGCACTAAAATGGGCTCTAGTCTCCACACCTCCACACTTGTAACTGTAACTTCGGTCGTTGCTGTGCTTTTTTTTTTGGAAATCGAATTTCCCAGAGGAACCCACCCGAGGGATTAATAAAGTTCTATCTTATCTTATCTTATCTTACCTTGATCCAACAGAGCACCTTTGGGATGTGGGGAACAGGAGATTTGCATCATGGATGCGCACGTGCCAAACAGCATATGGCAATTGCATCCCATCATATCAACATGGACCACAATCTCTCAGGAATGTTTTCAGAACCTTGTCGAAGGTCTGACAGTTTGCTGCCTCACTTCATATTCTCTATTTTCAGAGACACAGTATAGTTAGAGGCTTATTTTTCCCAACATATTTTATAATACAAAGACATGAAACATATAACTATACAATATGTTAAGATTTCTTTACATTTTTCTATCAGCATTTCATTTGTCTTATGAAAATGAAGTAGTTTGATATACTTAAGTCAACAGTCCATACATTATTTCGCTAATTAAGCCAGTTTGTTCTGAGTAGATTTCACTTGACACAGTTTGTTTCTACTGTAACCAAACAAATTTCCCACGTGTGGGACTAAAAGTTATCTTATCTTATGACTCATGTTAGTTCATATGCTGCTGGAGCCGTGACGGCAGCTCATCCAGTGAAATCAGCCGATGCTCCCTAGGAACATCGAGTTGGCCATCCTTATGTCTGTCTAAAAGGAAGCCGTGAATACCCATAGACCGAGAAGTGAGGTAATCATTAACATAATGGTCCCCAATATGAGCTACTCTATCAGCTGGCACACCACATTTTTGCAGTGCCTGACTAAAGATGGCCGGACTGGGCTTTGCTACACCAGCCTCTTCTGATGTTATTAAAAAGCTAAAGTATGACAACAGCCCACAAACGTGTAAGATTGCTTCCAGGCGGTTGTCAAAGTTGGACACCACACCCAGCTTCAGTCCAAGAGAAGAACAACTCTCCAGAGCCTTCTTTGAGTCTGGAAATACCTGAAACAAAGGAATATTATACAGTTTAACATGACATTCTCCAAACATCGGGGGCAAAGTTTAAGTTGCTTTACAAGTCAGATATTTAATGTGCTCTGTTCTTCTGGTTCAGTATGAAATGCTTATTATGATGATTATAGTTAAAAGAAAATACACATCCTGTAGCCTTTATTTATATATCGTTGCATAAAATTTAAAAAAGCATTATTCGAGGAACTGTTTAAAATCTTTAAACAAGGTGTTTTAGGTGTATGAACGTGTCAGTGATCATTTACCTCCCAGTTATCTGCGCTGCAGAAGTTATGGTAAAGATTGTTGGCTACTGTGTTTAGCAAGTCTGGCTCCTGTACACCACACTGAGAGAGAGTGTCCCGCACCACCCCCCTCCACCATGACTGTCCATTCAGGCCCTGACTGATGCCATAGTTTGGGTATCTACTGGAATACTGTCGATAAACCTGCCGGAAAGCAGCGTCGACCTCCACAGGACTGAGGCTCAAGCCCATACGCTCTGCCTCCTTGCAGTACTGCTCTCCCACAGATGAGCGCACCTTCAGCAGGGTGTCCTTCACATCCCATAGCACCCAACGCAGAGGAGCTCGCATCACACCTGATGGACACCAAAGAGAAGACAACAGCTGAGCAAAATATGAGTTATCTAATCAGGCTGTTTCACACAGAGAAACATGTTTGAATATTATTAACATTATTTATTTTCTTGTTACGGGAACTGTTTTTCAGGGTGACGATTTTAAGACATTCAAAACTGCTGCTGTAATACTAAGCGTGACCAATTTGACCACTGGTCAACAACATTTCCTGTATTTTATTACACTTTTATTATTGAATATGTTTTAATTATAGTCTGACAGTATTTGCTGAACCACAGCGTTTATTAGCCACAGTCATTAATGATCTATTGTACAATTGCTTGTCTCTGTCGTACCTACCAAGGTGTGATGATAGTGAAAGTGGCCAGTGGGTGACACTGTGGAGATTCGTGTGAGATTCATGTTTTACATTGAAACTGCAACATAATCCTGGCATTACTGCTTCAAATATTTCACTGTATCACAAAGCCTCACTTTGCCCATTATTAGATCTTACAATACAAGAGAGAAACCCCAACAACTGGGTAATCCTCCAGAAAGCACTTGATGACTGTTGGAAAGAAGAAATTACTTTTCATAGGAAGCAAGCCTATCCCAGCTACCATAGGGCGAAAGGCAGGGTATAACCTGGACATGTCACGAATATGACGCACAGCTAACAGACAGAGAGACAGACAACCATCCAAACTCGCGTTCACACCTATTGCCAACTTAGAATAACCAAATAACTAACCACATGTCTTTGGACTCTGGGAGGAAGACAAAACTCACGCAGAAAGGTTGTGGAGGAACTCAGGTACTCGGTGAGACAACGGTACTAACCATCATACCACTGCGCTGCGCAGGTTGTCTAATGCTATTAAAATACTTCAGATCCTTCTACTATCCACGTACAGAGGTGTCTGATCTTCCAGGAATGGCGATATTATTTTCAAGGAGGACTGAGTGGTCAGTGTGCAATGACCTCATGTTGATCTCTAATCTGGAACATAATAAAGTTTAGCTTGGCAGCACATTTACCATGGGGGTATATCCTGCTGGATAAGTCCAAATCCTGTTTCGTTGTGTAGCTCCAGGTTTCAGTTCAACTCATATTTGGTTTTAGCAACGTGTTTCTTGCCTCCGAGGTCACCATAATTGGATATGTACGAGTGGAGTTTGACAATAACTACGTAACGTTTCTCTGACCAGTGTCCCGTGAAAACAAACTAACGTACCTGCCCGCACACAGCAGTTTAACAGCAGAGGCCAAAGCTTCAGCTTACAGCAAAAACCTCAAATTAGAAAAATGCCGAAATGATACTGAAGTTTTCTCAGCTGTCAACGAAAATAAACAGCGACTAAAGTTAGCTGCCTGCTTTCTTCTTCGTCCTCTTTTCCACTCTGTTCTCTGAGTGGCGGCTGCTACTGCCATCTTCTGAAACAAACCGTAAAAATTCACACACAAAACAAACAAACAAAAACCCCCAATAAAATACCAATTATTCTTCCACGTCTCCCAGCTTGTTACTACACACAATAAGCGGCTGTTTAATAATTCTGGTGGAAGCTCTGGTGGCGTTTCTCTACTTATATAAGGACTAAAATAGCGTACACATACATCCATTCCAGTAGATGGCGGTATAGCCAAAAATAAGGAATGAAAAGCGTCATCATGTACGCATGCGCGTAGGCTCACGTGGAAGAAAGTGGCAGTAGAAACAAAACAACTGTCACTCGTCAAAATTTCCATGACATGTAGTCTTTTTTAATTAGTTTTATTATTTTTCCAAGACATAAGTATAATCTGATGCTGCTGAATAATGGCAACTCCAGCTATTCGGATGTTTCGGAAGTTAGAGGGCCTGTTCTGTGTCTACAAACCTGCTGGTGTTCACTGGAAACTGGTACGGGACAGCATCGAGACAAATCTTCTTAAAGGTGAGTGTAGTTTATTTTTCACTGGTATCTTGTGGTCCTGTTATCAATCACCCATGCGTGCTGTTAAACTGAGGCATGATTCAGCTAATACTCAGCATGCCTTTAACTTAACACTTGAATGTCCTTGCGTGTATTACACCTCAGGTTTGAATGCTGCGCCTTCCCAGCCACTTCCCCACGAGGTTCGACTCTTAGCACAACCCAGACACGAGAGTGAAGCGTCCAAAGGACTCACGGTATCAGCAGTATCGGTTCCTGTACTATCCAAGCACCCTCTGGGTATGTACATCCACCTTACTGAAAATGTTAACAAGTGTTGTCTCCGCTCTGAAGATACATTAACAGATACATTAAGATACATTTATCTGACCTCATGGTCCATGCAGCTGTTTTGTCAGCATCATTGTGAAAAACCAAGTGCAAGTGAAACCAGCTGCACCAACCTCTCGTCCCTATCACTCCACCTTTAAAGTATAAACACCTTCACAACACAGTCAGATGCTTTAGTTTGCAGTAAATCATCAGGTGGCAAAGTTCACAGCCCTTCTTTTACAAAAAAAGACAAAACTTAAAATCTGTTACTTTTACAGAACAAGTGAAAAAAGTACACTCTCTTTCTTTTCTACAGTTTTACATGTCGCAGCATTAAAAAAAAAATCCTCTGATCTCCAGCAAGTCTTCACATTTGGTAAATATGACCTCGGATGAACAACAGTGGATAACATAATTTTGTGTCATTGTTTATTTAACAAAAATTAAGCCAAATTTCAGAGGCAGTGTGTGGAAAAAAATTAAATACACAATTGTGTATAGACTTTGATTGACTGATCATCAGCCAGTGTGACCACCTTTATAAAAGCAGAAAGAGGCAACAGGATGAGGCAGTTATAAGGTCATGCCAAACAATCTGAAGTCCACCATTCTACAGTTGGAGTGATCATTATAATGATTATTATAATGTAGAGAGACGAGACCAAAGTGGAAAGTTTTGGCCATAATGGTCATTGGCCATTTTTACACTCTGCCTCAGCATTTCAGAAGCCGAGATAAATAAATGAGACACAGTGTGTCATGTTGTTGTTCATCTTAGGTTGTATTTGCGTCATTTTTGCTAGCAGATGATATTTGACACATAAACCCTTTGATTTAAAAGAGGTTGTACTTTCTTTTTCACAACTTTTTTTCCACTTTGATATTGAACAGTGTTTATAACTTTTTCTGTGGAGACACAGAAATAACAGCTTTCTGTGTCTCCACCGTTTTACCCTGTAACAGGTCATCCATGAAATCTGGTTTCAATTTAGATGTGACTGGAGTAAATTAGACCTCAGGTGTGGTGAATAACACTGTAGTGAGTGAATATAATGTTTCATTTTGATTTTAGTCACAGGACCTGAATTCCAGCATATCCGAGTTGGAGTCGGACATCGCCTCGATACTTTCTCCTCGGGTGTTCTAGGTATAATTTTAGAATTGCTCATTTGAAAAAAATCATTTGTTAATTACAGTGTTGGCATTCGTTTTGTGAATGATCTGAGAATATCCACATATTTCTAAAATGTAAAATGTCAAACACACAATAATAACATGGACTGAACCATCACTCACAACCACTAGCACTTTATATAGCCTCTGTAGAAATTATCCACATATCTCACTTATCTTAACTGCATCACTGTATAGTTCTGTGTAAATAATCATTCTGTACAAACAATAATTTTTAATCCTACAACTGTATATAACTTGCATAGTTCGCATTTCTGTATAACTGTATATCTCAGATTTCTGTATAGTTTTTTATTTCATATTTATATCCTGTTCATAGCCTGTTCATAGCTTGTACTCACTACAGCCTGTACATACTTATAGTTATAGAATATTCATAACATACTTCATACCATGTACATTATAACATACCATAATAGACCCATTTCTGTAATATACTTACATATCTATATTACTGCTAATATATATTGTAATATATCTATATCATGGCTAAAGCACTTCTGGATGGATGCAAACTGCATTTCGTTGCCCTGTGCATGTGCAATGACAATAAAGTTGAATTCTATTCTATTCTAGTTCTTGCCGTTGGGAATGGAAACAAGGCGCTGAATGATTTCTACACCACAAGAGTGACGAGGGTAATTTGTAATTTTCTCTCAGACATTAACTGATGCAGTTCAGATCCAACGCTGACAGATCCAATTCTACAATATTTCTTGCAGGATTATACCCTGGAGGCTGAATTTGGAACTGCAACAGATAATTTCACTAACACAGGTCGAGTTGTGGAAAGATCCACCTATGGTATGAATCATTTCTCTTTTAGTTTGAGCTTCCTCAATCTTTCACTTAAAATAGCAAAGTCCTTTTCGATAAAGTATCATGGCGGCACAAAGGTGTTGTGTTTAGAATTGTCACCTCACAGCAGGGAAAAGGTCTTGGCTACGAATCCACTGACCTGCTGGAGTCTTTGTGAGGACTATGTTCTCCCAGTCCTTGGGCTGGTTTCTCTGCAGTCCATAGACATGCGTGTCAATTTAACTCAAAAATATGGTGACTCTTATGGTGACTCTAAATTGGCCGTAGATGTGAATGTGAGTTGTCTGCATCTCTTTGTTAGCCCTGCAACAGAATACCGACCTGTACAGGGTGTACTCCACCTCTTGCCTTATGGAAGTTCAGCCCTGCCTGTGACTGAATTGTGTATGTGGCTTTAAAGGTTTTAAAAGAGCAGTTCTAATTTATATATCTGAAGTGCAAGAATATAAGCAAAACACTTGTTATGTGAACTGATGTCCCTTTAAATATACTTAAAAAAAGCTGTCTCCTAGATCACATCACACAGGATAAGCTGGAGAGAGTGCTGTCAATGCTGGAGGGAGTCAACCAAAAAACATTGTTGACGTAAGACGTTACATTTCTGTAAACCTAATAATGGCATCTTTTACCCTCTGCTTTTGCATAAGACCCTCTGTAAATATTTGCAACAGTACTAAACGATATTTGATTAGTTTCTTTTTTGCTGTACAGGTATTCCAGCATAGACATGCGCTCACAGGAAGCCTATGAGATGGCTGTGCAAGGTTTACTGGGTCCAGAGGGGAAATCGACACCCATCTTGACCGGCTTACGTTGCATTCGCTTCCAGCCTCCCAACTTCACATTAGGTAATCTTCACTTGAACACATAAAACATATTTGATGATTTAAAAAAAAAAAAAATGCGGGTCAAGTTTCAAACATGTCTCCTGTTTTTACAGAGGTGCAGTGCTTAAATGAGACTCAGAAGTATCTGCGTAAAATTGTGCATGAGATAGGACTGGAACTGCGTAGCACAGCAGTGTGTAATGGAGTACGACGCACCAGAGACGGACTTTTTACCCTACAGGACGCTCTGATCCATCACCACTGGACTGCCGCTGATGTCATGCAAGCCATCCAGTTGTATCATTCCACTAAGAAAAATAAAAAACCTTCTAAGGCAGCGAACAAGACATCTGCATTACAAACGTCTGAAGACAATATCACAGAAACTCAACAAAGTGAAATTAATGACGGAGTTGCTAGGTAGATCGTGTAAAATAACTAGTCACTTAAGGCCTATCATTGACCTATGACCCGATCAAAAAAATATTTTATGATGCTGCATAACTTCCCACAGTTTAGCTCAGTCAGGAAAGAGGTTTGCAGACTAGAAATCCCGGTGAACATTTGACCAGGATTTGTATACAGGATGTGTATACAAATGGTTGTAAACATTTAAAGCAATACTTTTGTAAAACCCATTGAATTAAACCCAGAAGTCTGCACATATCAATCGATATAAAATTCACTGTGGTGGAAAACAAGAACTGTATTTTGCAATGCTGTAGTATTGCTTAATTCCTTAATGTTAATATTATTTCTTATATTCTGAATGAATTTACAATAATAAAGACCAAAAAGAATGCACGCGTTTGATTATGATATCAGTTTAATTGCTGTGGGTTTGGGTTTTGTTGTCGTTGTTGTTTTTTAGGTCTGTAGATGAGTTCAAATACATGCTTTACTGGCACAAATACTCCCCCAGCTGGCCAAAGGTCAACATTACACTTGTTTTGGTGGCTCCAGACATTGATTAAATTTAAACCAGTAATGTCAAACTAGTAGTGATTAGACTAACTGGAGTCATACTCAGGTCTGATCCTTGTTAAGTTTCAGTGTATGTGGGAAATAAACAAACCAAAGAAAAGCAGCCAGCTTTCCATTTAAGAGAAATGATAGAGGGTCTGTACCACAGGATAAAAATGGTAACTTGAAATTAAACCACTTTGCTTCAATTTAAAATGTTTGGGTTTTTTTCCACAGCATTATGGTGATGTCTAAGATTAAAGAATTTAGTAATGTGAAATTATTTATGGGGAAATGAGCTGAATCTTCAACAGCTCGTGCACAGCAGGGGTCCAGCTCCAAATAGGCAAAACTGGAGCCCTGCAGGGCCTGAGCTGTTGTTCTTTAACTTTTGTCATTGGCTTGTTTTTCTGGCTCACCACCTGCCCTTGTTCTGATGCCGATTTGCATGCATTCTTCTATTTTTGCTTGCTGAAAGACAAAAAAGTATAACCATGTTAAGCTCATCTGCAACAGCAGAAAAATCTACCATTGCCAGGTAGTTTGATGTTGTTGTTGTTTTAACATGTTTAAGCCTGAAACAGAAATAACCACATTACTCAACTGAACTTCTCATAGGTGCGTACATGATTCCCATGGGATCAGTCTAGTTCTCTTTCCCACAACACCTCCTTTGGGACTATATGAGATTATTGCAGTGGCGCCATTGTTGACATGCTCTTCATACCATTGTCAGACTTGTTTTTCCACTGCTAACACAGTTGTCTTTGTCAGTCTGGAAACCCATAACTTCCATGAGGGCACAAATTAAGTACACAAGCAGACGTTGTTTATCTGGAGATTTATTAATCATGCGACACGCCATTAAAACAATTGGTTTAAAGGTACTTGGTCACAAAGAAAATGCACGGGAACATAAAAATACATTTACATATATAACTGCTGATCATGTCCCTGGCACTATAATTATAGGGGAGTAATGTTTATTCATAATTATGTGTCAGATCTGACAGTTGTGATGACTGAATTAAGATGAATGCCAACTTAGAAGAAAGGCTAAACAAAATCACAAAAAAGCAAGTATAATTATGTTTAATATATATTTACTATAATAATTATTTACCACTGTACTAGATTTGCTCTCGGTCACATCTTGATCTCTGGTAATATATGAATGGGGTATTCTCCTGTTTAAATTAATCATACTATATACACATTTACATTAAATTTCAGTATAGTAAATCCATAAAGTGAAGAGGATGTAGACTAAACATTTAGTCGATGTACAACAACAGAGATGAACTTTGTGAAATTGCACATAAAATCTTAAACTTGTGATTTTAGTTGTTACAGCTTCATCTGGAAAAATGTCAATCGTGTGATTTGAAATTATTTGAAGTTGCACAATATTGCACAAAAATTGTTATATTGCAAGATAAAACACACGGTGCAAATATAATTAAATACAGTAAGCTTGTATATGTATTAAATTATTGGATAGCTATTAAGCAAACACTGAAAAAGCCTTCACTTTCTGAACTATATAACTTTGGTCACTACTAACTATAAACTAATATTCTAATATAAGGCCTTTGAAGAAATAATTTTATATCTAAATATAACAACACTGAAAATATGCAGGCATGTAGTACAAATAATAAAATATAATGCACTGAGTTACAAGAAAGCCAGATGAGTACAGCGTGTTCTTGTTTTCAGGATTTCACCACTTGTTTTTTTTTCTTTCTTTTTTTTTGAAGACAAACACATTTGTTCAGCAACATCTTGAGCTTTTTTTCTGTTCTGGCTCTTTGTGCAACACTGTGGCTTCTTCTCTTGAGTCAATTCTTTGACTCAGCTTCCTGGCAACAACACAGCAACAGTGCAATCAGCTGATGACACAGCAGTCGACTTTACAGGGCATATCGATGTTAAAAGATGTGGATTTTAGAGAAAAACAATAAAATTATATACATACCTGGCTACAACTTCCAAAGACTGGATCACGTTTTCACCCGTGGCAGCACTGCACTCCATGAACTCAAAGTCATATTCCTGTGGAGTTGAATGAATATCTGCACTCACTGTGGGTGTTTTGATCATTAAAACTACTGAACTGAATGTGATTGTTTCATGAGTGGGTGTAATGCAACGTATTCGCACCTTAGCAAGAATTTCCCCCTGATGAGTTTTAACCCGTCGTTCTGAGCAGTCGCTCTTGTTTCCAAGAAGCAAAACAGTCACATTTTCAGCAGCAGACTCCTGCAGAACAGGAATCATTTTGATAATCTGCACATGTTATTACAAACTAGTCTAACTTTGCAGGCTGGTTCAACTGTTTCAGACACTCACGTCCCGTCCACTATAAATAGTTGATGTTTTAAATTTATTAATACTTTTTTCTACTAATAATCAAAATATGTGCTGCTGTTTTAAATACACAATTCAGTATCACACTTATAAGCCACTTTATTAGGTATACCTGTTAGTACCCCTGTTGGACTCCTTTTTGCCTTCAGAACAACATTAATTCTTCCTGGCATTGATACGACAAGGCACTGAAAACATTTCCCAGAGAGTTTGGTCCATATTGACAAGTGTGCCAAAAAACCCCCAAACATTAAACACCACCACCAGCCTGAATAAGGCAGGACTGATCCATGCTTTCATGTCGTTTACACCAAATTCTGACCTCAGCATACGAATGCTGCAGCAGAAATCGAAACTCATCAGACCAGGCAACGTTTTTCCAGACTACCGTTAACCAACTGTGATGAGCTTGTGTGAATGTAGCCTCAATTTCCTGTTGTTAACTGCCAGGAGTGGCACCCGGTGGGTTATTCTGCTGCTGTAGCCCTTCTCCTTCAAAGCTGATAAGTATTGTGCATTCAGAGATGCTCTTCTGCATACCTTATGGTGGTTATTTGTAATTTTTTTAAAACTACTGTTGCCTGCTTATCAGATTGAAGCAGCCTGACCATTCTCTGATCTCTCGCAACAAGGCAGGTTGTGAGAGAAAAGTTTATTGTAGATGAGTGTCTGAAATAGATCCAACAACCATGTTCAAAGTTAACTTAAATCATCATTCTTCCTTGTTCTGATGCTGTGTTTGAACATCAGCGGGTAGTCTTCACTATGTCTACAATGCACTTGCATGTGCTTAGTTCATTCCTTTTTTTGAAGCAGTTGAACAGGTGTGCTAATGAAGTGGCCAGTGTAGCCCCGCCTATTAGAACCAAATACACTAAATGAATATAAAAGTAAATCACTGTTTTGACAACATAGCATGTTTAACTAGTAATTTCAACATCTGTTTAAAAAATAGGTGTTGAAGTTTGAAAGGGAAGACATACCTGAATACAGTTTGCCCAGTAACTGACTGCGGAAAAACTATTGGTGGAGGTGATGTCATACATCAAGAGAAAGGCCTGGGCTTTGTGGAAGACCTGTTTGGTGATACTGTGAAACCTTTAAAGACAGAAAAGCACGACATTAAAGGTGATCTATTAATACTTCCTTTTTGAAACCAGGAAGACACTAGCTCTGCATACTGTAGCACATTCTAATTACTTTCCTCACATTCACTCAAAAGTTAATGTCACAAATTTGTCATTTAATGCAGTTTGCAGAGGCTAGCCTGAACATATTTTTCAAGACACACCCATGCCTCAGACTTCCCTCCTTGAACAAGTAAATGTCAGATGTTTTTGTAGTAAAAATAAAATAAATAGATCTTAGAAGCCTGCCCATTAGGTGAAGAGTTGGAATAAAGCTTCACTTTATTGTTGACATTAAGGAGGCTTTTTGTAAACTCTTGGGGAACTGCATGTCTCAAACGCTTTCTCACTCTTGCTATGTTTTTTAGTTGAACTTATCCAACACGAGTCTGCCTAAAATCTGCAGTTAAAAGTGAGCATCTTTAAATTGCATCCGTGTTGAATCCACCTCTGTCACTGGAACAAAATCTGCATTGTATCCTGGAATACAAAACATTATTGAGGAGTGCCAAACCAGTTCTGAAACCAGTTACACTTGAGCAGTCTTTAAATACTGCTCAAGTGTAACTCTGATCTGAGCATATTGTCTGTTACATGTTGAAATTGGCTGCTATACCGTATCTATCTACAAAAGCAAGTGTTACTTAAGTAAACACTGTTACAAGTAGTAACTGCAGATCTCGGTTGAATTCCAAGGTGTACACACTGCTTTGAACACTGGGTGTCGCCTACTTGGAAGCCTTCCTTGTCAGGCTTCGGAACAGCGGGACAGTGTGTCCTTGGCCATCGGGGAAGTTTATCTATACACTGAAAAAACACAGCCACTCCCTAGAACAGCAAGACTGCATGTGGCACAACATTCAGGACATCCTAAACCACAAAATAATAGCCTGTACCTTTAAAAAAGAGATGGCGTCTTCTCTGATGATTGGCTTTATTTACAAAACAGATATAAAACTGTTCACGTCTGGCTCAAACAAACTCCAAAAAGCAGTAGTTGTTTAGAAAACCTTGATATAGAAATTTGCTTCTTTTTTTTCCTCTCTCTCTGGATATGTATGTTTCCTTCAGGATATGTCGCTGTATTGTAGTTTGGGACTCGTGCGTACAAGTCTGTAGTTAACTTTTAGTTTTATGAGCAGTATGATAGAAATGAGTAAGCAGAAATGAACTGTCATGCACAGGTTTTGCCATTTTTCTTGCTTTATTAGAAGGATAGACTTTTTGCACTCATTATGAAGTCATCTTTGCTTTTTCCACCTGGCTCAATTCTACTCCTGACAAACCCATGCTATGAAGGAGAAAATCACAAGGCTTGGCAGAATTCAGAATTTCAACTAGATAATTAACGCACTTTAATGGACAAACTGTGCTTTTTGTCTTTATGACGTCACAGAAATGCAGACGTATTGCTCCCAGTGTTTTTATACTCAGACAAGTTGCTCATTTACAGAATTTAACTAACGTGAAATGTAAAAGATAACCTGAATTCCAGGGCTGTGAAAAGTCAGACAAGTTGGACTTTGATACTGTCATACGTAACACACTGACGACTGTGATATTTGTTATTCTCCTACAGGCAGCCTACTGTGACCTACGTACATTATAATATATGTACTGTTCAAAACAGACTAGAAAAAACATTAATAAAACTCAAAAAACCTGTTAAATGTATTCTCTCCAATGTGGCTTCTTTCAGCGACAAAACTGTGCAAAAGTCTTGATAAACCCCTCATTTCTTTATATTTTGCCTGGAAGGACTTTCTTGTAATTCTTAAAGTGGTCTTAAGCAATAGTTCTCCAGCTTTCTGAAGGTGTTTCAAAGTTTTCCTTTGGATATTGGCTACTTTTTCACTCATTCTTAGTCCAGTCCTTGTACCATAAAATTGACCTTTGAATAATTCAAGCGTAGATGGCATAACATGGCACCTAACTCAAGGGGAGATACATTGTTTTGTCTACAGCAAGGAAACACTTAGCAAAGAACCCATTTTAAATTGTATCTTTGGGCACTTTGTTATTAGCAGCCTGTCAGAAAAACATAATTTGTTCCCATTTCTTTACTTGAATCTATGAAAAATGCCAAAAAATAACACAGTTTGACAGTCAATAAAACTGTTATGCTTTTATTTTAACCAACAACATGATTCCTAAAGAGTTGCCAGTTTCCAATTTTTTTGTCACTTCTTGGCATGGTGTGCTGTGTGTCACGGTCCCCGTGTCTCTCTGGTTGGCCCACGCTGGCTACAGGTTTTGTTGTTGTTAGTTTTAGTTTTTTGTCTCTCCTCCTCCTCTCTGCCTGGGTGGAGCTCATTACGGGCTCTCACTCTTGGCCCACGCACCCCTGTGGATGGTGTCCACCTGCGGCTGATCTGGCTGATTTCCCCAGCTGCTATTTAAGGCAGTGGCACAGAGCAGCTCACCGCTGGAACGTCGAACCACCTGAGTTCGTGCTCGCGGCATATTCAAAGAAGAATCGCTTACACGTGTTTTATGTTGTGGAACTAACCTTGACCTTCTGTCTGTAGATTCTGGACCGAATCACCGGACCTGTCCAAGTGGGGCAGTGTGTGGAGTGTTGGAGCGAGTGCGGCTGAAGAGGAGTGCGTGTGTGTGGAGGAGCGGTGGCGGTGACTGAGTGGAAGAGGAAGCGTGTGTGTGGAATCCCCCCCTCCCCTTCTCTCCCTGGAGCCCTGGACCCCCTCCCAACTCACTGTACATATATTTTGCACTAAGGTGATCCCTATTGTAAATAAATCCCCTTTTTGTTTCCTTGAAAGAACTGTCTGCGCGTGGGTCCGTTCAGTAGCCATGACACTGTGTGTCCTTACAAATTTAGGAAACTGGACAAATGGAGGACCAAATAATAACTGGCAGGCTTACAAACCAATCTACAGCAGATTACTGCTATCAAAATATAAAGAAACGTAGAGTGGCTCAAGACATTTGCATAGTGATATATAATTTAAATGTTCTGTGAAACATCAAAAATTTGTCTCACTGATTCATTCTAAGAGGAAAATTGAGACTTACCTTTCTTGACCTGCTGTGTCCCATAGCTGTAGTATCATAGGCTTTCCATCTATTACAACAGGCCACATCAGCGAATCCAGGCCTATAAACAATATTTACGTGTATATTTAGAGTGTACATCGCTGTGCATACACATTAGTAGGATTAATTGTGAGATCAACACCAGGATCTTACCAATTGAGGAAGGTATATCTAAAGAAAACTTCCCACTTTGAGCTCTTTTCATGAAGGAGGTCTTTCCCACACTGCTGTCTCCAATCATTACCACATTGTAGCGCTTTGATTTGGAGTCTACCACTCCCGGATTACCAACTGAAATTAAAATGTCTGGTCATACATCATCTTTTAATGTAAAATTTCCCTATAATTATTGGTAAGCTGCACTGATCATCTTCTTACCCAGAGAAAATGTTTGATTCTCTTTAACAGGAAAAATTCCAGAATTACAAGGTTGGGCTGAAGTCTTCTCACTGTGGAAAAGACAATCAAACAAACTTCATGACATATACAGTGTAAGGATTTGCAAGGCTGAAATGGTCAGTTTTCAGAATGTCTCAAGCTCATATTTGAGTTGCCATGCACTGAACATTTGACAAGGAATTTTGTCATTCACTTGATTTGTGATTATTTATTTAAAACAATAGAGATGAGGAAGCTGTGTGCTGTTAAACCACACCACTCTGGTGACATTCACACCTCATCTCTAAGCAGGTCAGCTGAAAACAGTGCATACACTACTACTAAGCTAGTGTACAGTAGTAATTGCATAACTATATTTTTAAAGCTTACAAAAAGAAAGAAAGTACCATGCGGTACACAAGTTTTTACCTTATCAAGGCATAACAAGAAATCATCCGGTCATTACCATGTTCTTAAATTATTTTAACTACAGCGTCAGAGGAACAGTCAAGTCAAAATGCAGAAGCAGTGTGCAAAAAACTAAACACACCCTATGATTCTGCATTTTCACAGAATTAAGTTGAAGTAATTGTTTTCTCTGTGACTTTATCAGTCTCTCACATTGCTGTGAAGGAATTTTGGCCCGCTCTTCTTTCAGACATTGTTCCTTTTTACTGAGGTTTGCAGGCATTTGTTAATGCACAGCTCTTGCTACCACATTTAATTTACGTTGAGGCCTGGATTTTATGCGCATTATGGCCAAACATCTCTACTTTGGTCACATCTGTGCAAAGGACATTGTTCGAGAAGTCTGTGGCTTTTTCAGATGCAATATTGCAAACTTCAGCTATGCTGCCACGTTCTTTTTAGAGAGAAGAGGATTTCTCTTGGCAGCATGGCATTGCATGGTCTGACCTAGGGGTGAATTTGTTGGGACGTTCACTTTTGGGAAGATTAGCAGGTGTCTTGAATGTTTAGGGATCGTTGGGAAAGGGACACTTCTGGCTTTATAAAGGTGGTCACACTGAAGCAGTAAAAGTCTACTTAGTTTTACACACACTCCTTCTGAATTTTGGCTTAGTTTTTGTTAACTACATAATGACACAGTGTTATTATGTTTTATGTGTAAAAGCTCAGAATAAAAAAAAAAAACAGGTATACTTTCCTTTTGTATGTGACTCAAATAGATTAACAAATTGTAAAATGTTTTCAACAATCTCATGGACATTTTCTTTTGGATGTTACAAAGTGAACTTTGAGGTGACTGATATTACAGTTGTCCATTGCTATATATGCAATATGAACATGAATATTCGAATATTCAGTATAACACATAACAGACTACACTGTAACAAATTTGGACTTATCTATGAGTTACAGTGAGTAAGTCAAGTAGGAAAGCCAACACTTGAAAGCTAATTAGGTAGCTGGACAACCCTAGCCTTTTTAAAAATATCTGTGTGTTAGACCTACCTCACAGTCTCTGAGTGCTCTTCACTCTTTGAGAGGCCTGATGATGGTTTCTTATCACATTTTCCAACCTGCAGAAAGAAAAGTAGGGCTTTTTATGCTTCTAAATGTGCATGACAAACTCATTTCATGATGTGAAAGTGCAAATTATTCTACTTGGATTAGTTATCATCTAGTAATCAGTCGTCTCCTAATAATATCTGAAGCTGGAATATCTGACATACTGGTTTCCCATTCTTTGTCAATAATAATAATTTATTGTGACATCTTTAAAGCCATTATTTGCTGATCTCATTCAAAGCCCTTATCTGCCAGGTTTCTGAAGAAGGTGAACACATGTTCTCGTTTGCTGTATGTGAAACATGCTATGTAAACCTCACGTTCCTCTTTTTAGTTCCCTGTGTCACAATGACCTTGCCACAAACAATCCAGTTTGCAAAGTGTCTACTGCAAATGGGGTGTAAATAACAATGTAGGCTTGCCTATGTGAAAGAACACTTGTCCAATAATAACTATTCACTATTCACAACTATGCATAGAATTATAAATACAACAAAGTTTAATAAGGTATTGCATTTAATAGTCAAATTTAAATGTAGTCTGTGCATGAGGTTTTGGAAAAATTGAAAACAATTAAGATTTCTACTAAATACTAAAAAACTAAACTAAACAAAAACCCCTAAACATTGCTGCTTACCTCTGAAATTCTGGCATCTGTCCCACTTTGATCATCTATTATTGTGCCCTCTCCTGTTTTGTCTTCTATACGCTGATGTCCACGGGACTTTCGGTTAGATCCCAATTTTCTTCTCCTCCCTCCAGATGCTGATTCTGACACAAAATCATCTTTTAAGGATGTAGACAGGAGGTCATTTGCAGTGTGATGTTCTGTTTCTGCTAGCTGGTCTTGGGAAACAGGCCTCTCTTCAACTGTTTGCTCAGGCAGAGGTTTGAATTTAGACTGACCCGGAGGGCTGATTTCCACTGTTTCAAATACTTTCTGTTTTCCTTGTTCGCCATCATTGTTTTTGTGATCTGTGTGAAGCTGAAGTGCTTCTTCTTTGATTCTGGAGACACTTTCAGTTTCCCCGATGTCTGCTCCAGTCTCCTTTGCTTCGTTATCCACCTCCTGTTTTTGATGGAGCTCTTCTTTGTTTCTGGATCCAAGATTCCTGCGGGTGGAGCCCATCTTTCTTCTCCGGTTGCTCAAATGTAAATTTGGACTTTCACTCCTCATCTCTTGAGTTTTATTATGAGCTCCTTCATTCAAGTTGCTTGGATTTTTCTCACTAGCATCTTGATCTTGTACTTCTTTTATGCTCTCTGGCCTTTCCTCATCGCTATGTGTATTTTGCCTGGCCTCACCAAAAGACACTAAGCTCTCTTCTGCTATGCCAGTGTCTGTGGCAGCCTCGGTATTTGGGGGCAGCAGCTGATTTATGGAGCGTCTGCTTCTACCCGTGACCACAGTGGTTATTTGTGTCTCAGTGTTTGTAAAATTGTCTAGCTGTGGCGGCTCCACAATAACTTCTCTTACACCACCTGTGATAACGTGTGTAACCAGACTGATAGTTTCTTCACGGAGAGAGGAAAACTGTTCAGGAAGAGGGGCCTTAAAATCTTCTACTACTGGTATCACATTGATCTCTGTACTGCTTGGTACAGAAAAGGTTTCAGCAGCTTCCTGTTGTTTATGAACAGCAGAGAATAACGGTTGTGCAGTTTCATTTTGTGGTATATCTGTAGTTAACGGTAACTCTACCACGTCCAACTTGTCAGTATTCCTCACGTCAGCTTCGGTGTGAAAGTCACTTTCCTTGGTTTCATCTGTGTTGTCTGTTTCTTCCTCTTTTTTTCTGTTGAGTTGACTCCTGCGAGAAGAACCTATCTTTCTCTTCTTTTGTTGTGGATTTATTTGGAAAGTATTTCTGTTACCTGATTGAGTTTGTTCTTGCTGGCCGTTGCTTGCATCCATTGCCTCCAACGCTTCTTCTTTATCAAGCACCTTCAGAGAGCTAGAGCCTTCGATGCCAGCATGATATGAGGTATGCTGCATGTCTGAGGGAATTTCACAAACTGAGGCTTGTGGTGATTGCATCAGGTGCTTTGTAATTGTGTCACATCCTGTAAGCTGATCTAAATTCATAGCATCTTGAACAACTTTATTTTCCTCATTGAAATCTTTGTTAGATTTGAGAAGTCCATCTGTATTGCTATCCATATTATTCTGTGAGAAAAATGCATATTCCTCCGACAACTTTTCTTTATTTTTGCCTTCTTTTGCTGTTGAGCTAATCTGCACTTCTTTGTCAATGGATATGAGGTCTTTTTCTTCTTCCTCCTTTGTTATATCTGTTGCTGGTGACATGTCAATTGTTCTGAGTTTGTCATTACTTGTGGGGTTTTCTAAAATGTCATCTTTAGGTTCCTGGTATGCATCAGGGTCCTTGACACCCTGTCTTCCTTTATTTCTTCGGCTTGAACCCATTTTCTTTCTATTCCCTGTATGGCTGAGGCGTGTGTGAATTTCTGTAATGTCCTGAGAATTATCCTGATGGTGGAAGTCCAAAGAGATATTTGTTTCAGATAAGGATGTTTGGTGACTCTCTGTACTTGCGCTGCAGTCAGTCTGATGCATTAATGCACCCTCTGACTGCTTAGCTTTGGTGACCTCAATTGGGTTGGAATGCTCATGTTGTTCCATATTTGTAGTCAACACATTTTGAGATGCTAAAAATGTTTCTTGTGCAACACTGCATTCAACTTCAGTGCTTTCTCTTGGGCTGGTTTGGTCAGTTGTTATCTCAACTGCAATGGTACAATCTGTTGTTCCACTTAACAAAATATTGCTGGGTAAATTTCCATCCTGCCCTAAAAGTTTTATGTGTTGATCTTTTTTGACTTCTTCCATCCCAGCCTGCACTGGTTTATCATTAATCACTTTAGTATCTCCGTCATTTTGATTTTTAAAGGACTTTTCATGATGTGGCACAGACAGAGAAACATCATGCTTGTTTTCTTGCAGTAATTCTTCAGGTCTTGTAGCCTCTGTTGCTGACATTTCTGTTGTTTCAGGGGTTTCATCATCAATTGCATCTTCTTCTTTAAATTCCTTATCACGCTGTCTTCCTTTTATTCTGCGAGTGGATCCCATTTTTCTTCTATTTCCCCTGGATTCGGTGACAGTATGGGTTTGCTTATCTGTGCTCACAGTATTGTCCTGAAGTTGGGACTCAAAAGGTGGAGTTGTTAATGAGAGTCGAGTTTGTAGAGGGACTCCACTGTCTTTAGTATTTGGAACATCACCTCCCTTGATTTCCTGAGTCACAAAGTGCTGTTTAGCTTGGTTGCCATCAGGGTGATGAGGATCTTTGACTTCTTCAGTCAGAGCAGTTTCAGATTTAACCACTTCTTCCATCACAGATACCAATGGTTTATCTGAAATCACATTAAAGGTTGTCTGATTTTTATCTTCCTTAAGGTTTTCACTTTCAGAAATTAAACTGTCCAGGCTAATCTCAGAATAACTCTTTGCAGTTGGGCTCTGTATGTCAGGAGAATAAGCAGGTGTAGACACTTTAAACATGGAGCTGTCATGTGGCACCGACAGAGAAACGTCATGATCGTTTCTTTGCAGTAATTCTTCAGGTCTTGTAGCCTCTGTTTCTGACATTTCTGTTGTTTCAGGGGTTTCATCACCAATTGCATCTTCATCTTTAAATTCCTTATCACGCTGTCTTCCTTTTATTCTACGAGTGGATCCCATTTTTCTTCTATTCCCCCTGGATTCTGTGACCGCATGAGATTGCTTATCTGTGCTCACAGTATTGTCCTGAAGTTGGGACTCAAAAGGTGGAGTTGCTAATGAGGTTGGAGATTGTGGGGAGACTCCACCACTTTTGCTGTCTGAAATGTCACCTTCCTCGTTTTCTTGAGTCACAAAGTGCTGCTCAGGTTGTTTGTCATCAGGAGTTGAAACTTCCACTTTGGTTACAGATTCATCAGGACTCTGCACCATCACTTGAAACTGGTAAGTGTTGCTATTTTCAGTTTGGCCTAAGTCTCCAGAAGTAAAGGAAGAGTTTTCTGTGGCATCATCAATCACATTTTCAGATGAGAAAT